GGCAAGGGTCGGGATCCACCGCGCTTCCATGGTCCAAAGATAACTTGAGACGAGGTAGACCGGTGACGGCACCGGCCGGAGACATGAGAAATCCTAGCAAAAGGGTCCTCTTTCTTCCACAGGAAGAAAGAAAACGAAGAATGTTTATAAAACCACTCCAAAATTGACCATGAGATTCTTTCTAACGAAGAATGTTTTTTTGCCAGCATATATTTTCTTGCCTTTAAAGAGAAATAAATAAAGTGATGTAATTCATGTTTGATTCGACAACAATTTTTTTGTGTGTGAGTTGAGTGTACAACATTAATACATGAACTGCAAACCCAACGTCACGCCCTAAAAGAAGGGAAAACAGTATAATTTCCCAACACATATATAAAGTTCGTTTCTAAAAAAGGAGGTGAGCACCACACAAAAATGTGTAATTAGCACAAAAACCTAAGAAGGAAAGAAACATTGTTGGGATAGTGATCTATTCCTAGGAGAGTGGCGTTTTGGGACCCGGTGGCTTTCATGGAGCCCAATGCTTTTAAAAAAGGAATTTGAATCTAGATGTTCCGAAAACTCTAAAAAAAATATCCCACTTGCATAGATGTGTTTACATATACCTATTTTTTATTTAATCCCGCTAACTCGTAAGCTATACAAAAAGGACAAAGGTGTGAATTGCTAATAACTAGTTTACATATATCCATTTTCAGGGACATTTTTTTCCATTTTTGTGGACATGAATTTTTTACTAATGTTTTTCTTTACACAATCACATAATATGGGCAGGTAAATCATGAGCAAACCTAATATTTATATGTAATTCCCTCGTTGCAACACACGAGCAATTATCTAGTTTATATGTTTATGTAATTTTTATTTTTATTTATTTGAAGATTTTAAAATGCCTTTTCTCCTTTTTTTTGTGTGTGGATAAGCCCTTTTTTTATTCCAAGTGCACTGCTGGTGAACAATGAAGGGGTGTAGACCACGGTACAAATACAAACACAGAAGGCCTGCCAACTAATTTGGATGGTTTTTATGGACACTCGTTCGATCGGGCCCTTTCCTATTGATTTTGTGGACCATATACCTTGTTGTGCGCTCGTCCTCTCTGTCGGCCAGCCCACTCCAACTATTCCCCACCTGTTTCAGACGGTTTCTAAAACCTTCCTGAATCCGGTTTCTCCTTTTTATTATATTTTTATTGCATTTCTTTTTTCCTTTTATATTTTTCCTTTTAATTTTCTTTTTTTAATCAAAGCTGTTATCAAACTCGTGCACTTTTCCAAATTTGTCAACATTCCTTATAATCACACAATATTTTTCAGAAATAAGCATACATTAATAAAATTCATGAACATCTTTTGGAAATACGGCAATAATTTTCAAATTACTGGTTTTTTTAAATTGAAGAAAATACTTAAATTCATGACTATCTTTTGTATTTGTGAACATTTGTCTAATTGATTAATATTTTCTGAAATTTGTGAAAAAAATAGGAATTGTCGAACATTTTCCGAAAGGGAGAATATTTTATAATTTCAGAACATATTTTGAAGTTAAAGAACATTTTTAAAAAGAATTAAAATAATTATGATCCATTCGTAGTATGTGAAATTTTTTTATAAATCGAGTTTCTTCATAAATTCAGAACATTTATTGTTGGATTTGGGGCTCCTGAACATTTTAAAAAAATTAAAATATTAAAAGAGGAACAAAAACAACATAACTAAAGAAGAAAAAACTATAAACGAAAAAAAACAAGGGGCACCAAATCAAAGGGTATCCCTGGGAGGGCTCCTATAAAGTTCACTCTTTTAGCGTGAGAGCGTGCCAGGTGGTGTGCTCAATTGCTGTCGTGTGTCACGCTCTGGACATATCTTCAAGGTTTTGTTTAAAAAAAATTGCACCCATTTTCTGGTTTTAGTTTACTGGATTTCTTCTTTTTTTTTGCTTTTTTTCTAGGTTTTGGGTAGAATTTTTTACTTTTTTTTGAAAGCATTGTTTTTCTGTGAGAAGCATAATTGTGTTTCTAAAAAAAACGCAATATGTGCTTCCACGAGAAACACAATTATACTTCCTGAAAAGAAAAATCACAATTGTGTTTCACCAAAAAAGGGAAATCATAACATGTGCTTCTGCGAGAAGTAGAGTCTCTACTTCCACAAGGAGCACAACTTTGCATATGCGAGAAGCACAGCCTGTGCTTTCCCGAGAAAAATAAAATAAAAGCACATCCTCTGCTTCCAAAAAAGTGAAAACGCAATTGTGCTTCTGGGCTTTGGTTTTTCCTTCCGGTTTTAATTTTTTATTCTAGTTTTTGGTTTTTTCTAGTTTTTCGGTTGCTCGTTTTCTTTGTTTCT